TGACAACATTAAGATTTACAAGAACAACCCCCCCAGGTTCATGAAGTGTTGCAGGACCAGACCACCAGTGTTTTGATAGCAGTGTATATTATAGATAAAGCGCCAAGATGATCTTAGAAAGCTGAACGTGCTCCATAACATGAGAAAGGCAGCAAACCAAAGCAGTTCCTACCAAACTGAACTGGAGAAGAGCCACTCTTGGTCCCCTTAAAAGACAGCAAACTTGGGCTATTAATTCCCCAGTGTTGGTATCAAGTGGATGTTTTTCTCAGCTGGTCTGTGCAGCATTTTGCTTTCTGAATTAGCAGTAAAATGCTAGTGTCCTTCCTCAATAAAGAATTAATGTATTTTTGTTAAGTGCTACATAACAACATCAATTTATAATGTGTAATGGGAAAAGAAGAAAGGAGGAAGGCAAATATAGAAACAGTTTCTATCTCCCTGGTGTATTTTTTGAGCAGTATTTTGGATTTTCTTTTTATGTGTTTTATAGCTGTTTTACAGTCAGACTTGAAACATATACAGAGACCATATGTTCAAATATGCATTCAAATATGCATTTGAACGTATGCAGATTTAGCATTATCCTAAATTAATTTCTGTTCCACGTCAGGTCAGTTGTGCATATTGGATTTTCTTCTTGTTTTGCAGTACTATTTCACAAAGAGAAACAAACTCGTGGTATAGAAGTAGCCTCATGGAAGATAGCACCCTCCTTGCTCTAAAGGAGGAGAAGCCACAGGGCTGGGGTATACCCAGCATCATGTAGCAAATCTATTGCAAGACAGGAATTGGGCTTAGAACTTGGGATTTTTCCATTTCTGTGCTCATTCCTCTAGAATTTTTTTGCAGCCCTGTGAGACTTGCCTGCCTTCTCTTTTTCAGCAAGTTCCTAATGCTCATAAAGACTGGGTGTGTGCTCTTGGCCTGGTACCTGGCGCTCCGGTTCTGCTCAGTGGCTGCAGAGGAGGCACTCTCAAGCTCTGGAATGTGGATACCTTCGCACCCATTGGAGAGATGAAGGGACATGACAGCCCTATAAATGCAATCTGCACGAACTCCAGCCAGATTTTCACAGCAGCAGAGTGAGTTTTTCTTCGTGAATCTTCCTTTTCCATAGCTCCTGCTAGAATTCCGTCCATGCAAATGCATTTAGGAGATCTTGTGTAGGTCACTTCATAGCAAGCATGGGAAGACCTGGTCCATGCCCCTAAATGCTAATAATGGACTACAGTGATCTTCAAAGTGGGGTGCATGCACCCCAGGGGATGCACAACGTGATCCATCGGGGCACGGGAACAAAATATTAGAACTTCAGTAGTACATATATATAATTTATAAATTAATAACATGGGGATGTGTGCTCAAAAATTTCTTAGTGATAGGTGCGCATGATCAAAAAAGTTAGGAGACGGCTGATCTATAGGATGGCAGGGAGAATTTGGCAATAGTTGAGAATTTTACCAGCTTGTCTCTACAGTTGAGCTATTTACTGCTAGGACTGACCCCTGACCTGTGGGAATTTTTCTAAAAGCCATGGTATGTGGTTGTTTTTTGGTTTGTTTTTGCTTGTTTGTTTTTAAGTGCTGGTGTGTAGCAGAAATTTTGCAAGCCTTCCTACTGTCCTTTAAACACCTTGATTTGAATATTTGCTTCCTCAGTAAAAGTGAGCAAACTGAATACCTGAAACCTCAGGGGACTTGGCCAAGAAAAGTATCTCATTCTGCAGAAAGTGCGGGGGACGGCAGTAGAGCCTGCTTAGTGGTATAGTCTGAGCACAGGAGCTGTGAAAGCTGTCATGTTATCTTCTGGTGCCAATCGCGGAAGCTTTTGGCCTTCTGAATTGAAACCAGGTCTTTCTGAATTGAAGCAGGATTTCAAAGTTGCCAAGTTTCCACATTTGGTGGCCAATTTTTATGTTTAAGTATTAATAGATAGGGGTAGAGAAGTCAAAGCTTACGTCTCTGTTTGCCTAAAGATTATGAGTAAGTTTAGAACATACATGTACCTGAAATTTATTCTTTATTACTAGTGAAAGAAAATCCCAGCCTTTTGGCACCTGTAACATTGTGGTGAAGGTCTACAGAACTTGGTGTATTCCTGACAATTTACAGGGAAGTGAAGGCTCAAGTCAGAAGACCTCTATACTGTGACAAAGTCTCTCCCGACTGCTGCCTCCTGGCTTTTTTTGAGAGGGTTATAGGGAATACATGAGTCAGTGTTTGCTAGTCACATAACTCGATGTTTATGAGAAATTCATAAGTTCTACTTCTCTTGTACAGGATAAATTGCTATTTAACAAGACTAATTCTTCATTTTACTTTTCATTATGATAATAGAGTTTTGTAACACATTCCATGTGATACTTTACTTATACATACTTTAAAATTGCGTAAATAGTGATTGTTGCCAAAAGTACAGAATTATAGTTTGCCTCTCCTGGACTTCAGAACACCAGCTCACTGGTATATGCTTTCCAGCACCTGGAAAAGAGTTTTGGTTTGGTTCTTTTTTTTTTTTTGGGGGGGTGGAGTTAGGACTTTGTATCATCGTGTGGTTCTGTGCTTTTTTTTACCTTTTCTTGTTATAGACTGACACCTCTCGTGCAAACAGAGCATGTTTCAGGTCCTGTTTGATTTAAGTCATAACTTTTCACACTTTTTTAATGGCAGGAAGTAGTCTTGTCCTATTGAGTCTGTCTCTCTAATTCTGTAGTATACTGGCTGTTTGCTTGTGGTCTGCTGACTTGTGAATAGTCACATGATGGAAGCTCTTCTCTGATGTCAGTCTACCATTAGCTGTATTTTAAAAAAATAAGTAATAGCAGAGTAGGATTTTACTTTCCTTAGGCAAGTATAAAGATTATATGTCTAGATGGTTAAAGGTAGTAGCCAGTGCTGTGATAAGGTTAGGGATTCTTAAATGTTGTACATCTTAGATTACAAAGCCTCCTGGAGGTGAATAACCCTTGCGTATCCATTAAGGAAATCTTATTTTGCCAACAGTGTCTTTCTGAATAAGACACCTGAGCTTTTAAGAAAGCTTCCCTGCCCTCCTCATCCCCCCTCTGCCCCCGTTTCTCTCCCTCCCCCAATTTAATTACCTAGCTCTAATACTGCTTTGGTTTGTTTTTCAGTGACCGGACTGTGAGGATCTGGAAAGCTCGAAATGTAATAGACGGACAGAGCTCAGATCCAGGAGATGCAAGTGAAGATCTTGCCAGTAATTGAAATGATGGGGATAAATGAATATATTGATGAATTTGAGGTGCACTCTATGCAGTTTGCTGCATGCTTATTAGGTAAACACCAATGACTGGAATGAACTGAAAAATAAGAGTGAACTCTTCTACTTAGACCTGCTGTCCTTAAAATATGTACTGTATTTAAGAAAAAGATAACCTCTTGGTAACATGCTTGTGTCTCAATGGTCACATATATATGTCTATATATATTATGGCTGGATTTGTGTGCATATGTAACACTTGCAGTTAAAATTAACTGGAAATCGGTCTTCTCTAATGACCATCTCAAAATTGTAACCTGGAATATATAACAAAAGTGCTCTGCTGTATTTCACTCACAAGTATGATCAGCTGTTTTGCATTTTAGGGTAGCAAAGGAATCATGATGTCCCAGTAATAACCCTTTGATTATGACAGGCATTGTTTCAAGATTCTAAAGGTCACTTACACTGTTGTTAGGAAAGCGGAGTGAATAAAAGATGGGAAGAAGCTGTTAATGACACATCTATCTGACATGGCTGTATCCTGCTAACAGTGAATGCTATATGATTTGTGTTAATGTTAGCATATAATCCCCGTTGACCAAAGTTGTGCAGCTATGTATACTCTGTGCTCAGGACTAGAACTCGAATGCTCATAAATTGGTATGTTTTATTAGCGTTTTGCCTATATTCTGTAATGACTAGGTGTTCTTAATGTCATAACAGAAATATATCTTAGTCTATTTTTCTTATGGATTTGTTTCTATCATCTCACATTTTCTTTTTTAAAGCAAAATGTCTTTCCTTTTTATCTAATTTTATATGCTGCTAAATGTATTTTAAATACACTGTTTTGCAAACCTTGGCAGTTACTTTGAGAACTGAACCACGTGTATTGGAAAAAGCTATGTAAATAGATGGTTGTACAAAGAAAATACCTTATCTTGTGCCTGTATGACTTTTAAAGCTCTTAGAGTGTGGATGTTGAGGGAGGATGTATAATTTACCCAACTGCGCTGAATATTAATTTGTAAATTCTGCAAATTTTAAAAATTTATGTAGATTCACATGCAGTGTTTGGATATTGAGGATTTTTTGGTTGTTTGGTTTTGTTTTTTCCAGAAAATAGCAATCTGTAAATTGTAGCTTATGTAGGTAACACTTAAATAAAGATGTGAATGTAAACTACTTCTCTTTGCCTTTTTCATCATACTTCCTTATAAAAAATTCACTTCCCTTGCAAAGGCCCCGAATATAAAACTCACAATTTTACACAATGCAGTGGGATAGCTTGCTGAGTAATATAGCCCATAGGTTGTTCTGTTATCCCACATCTGTGTTCTCGTTGGCCATTATTTGTGTTTTGATAGTACTTAGGAACCTAGTAGGATTCCCTCATACTAAGTACAGTACAGACTTAAAATGAAGCAGATGGCTCCTGTTCTTAAGAGATGACAGTTCTTACCTTATTACATATGGTCTGTCAAACAAAGAAAAGTTATGATGCCTCTTACTCGTCTTAGAGGAATTATTTCCTTCTCAACTCAGCTTGAAAGGAGATGAAAATGCGTCCTGCTTGCGATTTGAGTTACTGATTTATTCCAAGTTTTGGCAGAAACGAGTAATGATACGTATTGTTAAGAAGCAATGTATAGGTTAGTTAAAATAAACAGCAGCAATACCAATTAGTGTTTATCTATCATGCTTTTTGACCACCCAAGGGCTGTACACACAAAAGATTTGGGACCATATCACAGCTTTGAGCAAAACTCCCCATGGAGACTGAATTTATGTGCAAGACTGATGTGAGAGGCTTTGTGTGCCTGGTGGAGGGTCCCTGTTCCGCCTGGCCCAGTGGGTAAAGGCCACCCACTGTGCCAAGCTTCGCAAATGATACCAACAGCTCGGCAACCCCTGGTTTTGGAGCTGAACACTCATGGCTGTCATCTGGGAACCCTGGGTAGTTGTGTTGTTTTAATGTGTGTGTTTGCGTGTGTGTAAGATTCGTATGAATATTGAATATTGTGTTTTGCAACTGCAGGACCAAAGTCCTTACAAACCTGGGGAATGATTACCTGCTGTCAGGCTGCTCTGCTTTAACGCACCATATGGTGAGGGACTGTCGTGGCAGCAGTCTGCATTGCAGATGCTTCTCTCTGGTGATGCTTGACAACACAGACATTTTGTTTTACGAAGCTATCTTGTGATAGGGACCAATATAACTTAGATATTGTGTGTATAGAAAGATTTCCACCCCCCTTCCCTCCCTTCCCTGCCCCCCCCGCCCCGGAAGATGTTCCACCCAGACTAGATCTTACTCTAGAACACAGCTTTACTCTGAAAGTTCTTGCCATCAAGCAATTGGAAGAAAATGGTCATTTTGTAAAGGTCACAGTATCAGTGTCTTGTTTTAATGGAGAATTCTTCAACTGTTCAGTTTTCTCCAAACTTCTCATTTGTACTGTAAAACTACATATGTGACAAAAGATAATATGAAATCAGAAAAAGGTAAGCACTGGACTCCAATTGTCTGAAGGTGTTTGTTTAAAAAAAATTAATTTTCTAAGAATTCTAAGTCATGGGAAAATCATGTGCTCTCTCAAAGTTGGAATTCAGAAGTTGAGCAAAGTTTGTGGACAAATTAGTAACTATATCCCATCTTATCTGCTTAGATACATTCTTAAATACAGGCAAGGTCACGTGTTATAATTAATCTCATGTAAGATACGAATGCTGAGAAAATATTTGCGATGTTTTTTATTAAGTATTGGAACAAGTGCTGTTAAACCATAACAGTGCCCCTGCCTTGGATAAAAGGCTCCATGCTGCCTGCAGAAACGGACGTTCAACCATGGAGAGGATGAGGAGCCTGTGTTTCTTGGCTGTTGTGCTAGCAGGTAAACGTATGGCATTTCTATTTTGTCATAGGCTTCAGAAGCAAGATATAAATGTGATAACAACAGAAAAGCTATTAGGGGAGGTGAACTTTTTACATGGAAAAGGAGAGAATGCTTATGGCTTTAACTCCACCTGAGGTGACTGTGGGGAAGACAACAGAGCTGGCTGGCTTGTTTAGAAATACGTCCTAGTCCAACAATGTATTCAGCTCTTGGGCACCAGCACAGACACACTGGAGTCAATGGGACCATTCAGCTGCTGAAAGATGCCCCGTGCTTTGCTAGTTTGTTTGCTATGATTTTTACCCCAGTATACCAGAGGTTAATTCGGTCCAGAGTCTAATAAAGGGAGAATACATTGTATTATGTTGCCAGATAAAGGAAGAGGGAACTGCTGCAGCAAATGCCTTTGAAATGTATGGATGAACCCAAAATGTACAGACTAATGCTATTAAATTAAAAGGCCTATTGTAATATTCTAATTCCTTGGTTATGCCTTATTGCAGCATTTTCTAACCTAATCTCACAAAATTGAAGTCAGGTTTTTAAAAATCAATGGGGATAATTTTTCACGTATATCTTTCAAACTACCTCTCTTTAGCTTCTGTTCCCATGGAAATTATCGTGAAAAGCAGCAAGTAGCCATAGCTATTGCTAAATTCAACTGCTCGTTTGCATTTCATCTTCTATGTACATTTACAAACATGGGCCGTAAATGCAGTGAAAATGATGTGGAGATTTAAAAATAAAAATGTTTTTAAAAAGTAGGCAAGGAAAATTGCATCTTCCCACTTGCTACTATCCCATTTGTACTGTAATAGAAGTAAATCCAGGAAGAAGGGATGAATGAGGTTGCAGCCTTGTTCAGCTGCTCATACCTGCAAGTGCTTGTTTTCAAAATTTGCTGGAAAATGTAAGCTTCACATTGATGGGGGCGGGGGGGAGGATATTAAAAATTTCTTGGCTCCGGCTGGGGCAAATTTTTTTTCCTTTGAACTAGCTTTTTAATTCACAACATCCTTCTTATGAAGTATTTTATTATACCAATGAGTTGACAAAAGTCTCCTATGAACCTACGCTATGTAAAATGATGCCAAGTTAATAATATGCTGTAGTGTGTTCAGTCATATTCTTTGATTTCAGCAATGAAAACACAGACGCTGCATTTGACACCTACTAGAAAAAAAACCCCGAAACTAAATGAAGTGTGATGGGTTTACTCTGCCAAGGTTTTAACTCGAATGTGCAAGGCAGAGCAGTGCAAAGCTGCTGGACACAGAAGCCATGCATTGACTGCAGAGGTGGTGCTTGGTACGTCATTTTTTTAGCCTCTGTGGTTGCGCAGGTTTAAGGACCTCAGGATCCAGAGGGCTGCGGGAAGCCTTTGAAATCCTTTCACCTCCCCCTCAATAAGCCGGAATATTTGGTGCGTAGTGGTACAAAGGCATGGCAGTTATTTCCATGGGACTTGCAATCTGTGTGACTTTCCCACATCTTCATCAGGGACAGAGTATGAAAAGGCAAGGAGTCTTCAGTGTTTCATTAGACCATTGATGAATCCTCCCTGATTTCTGCTGCAAGAAGAAATGATTTAGGGACTGCAGAGGGACGTTCATATTCCTATGATGCTTTGGATGAAAAAGGGGATAGAAGGTGTTGTGGCAGGGATGAGCGAGCTCTGCTGCGCATCCCGGGAGCGTCAGACCTGAGCGTCAGATGCTCCCACATCAAAGGGGCGATGAAGAGTTTTCTCAAAAGACAAATGCAGACCGCACTCAGCTCCTGCTTTTCTGCGTTCCCATCCCTGACTTGGAAGTCAACTCTGGCATCGCAGCATGATAGCATTTTCTAGTGAATCCACAATTTTATTCTGTAAGTTTTCCCAGTATATATAATTATTGCTTGTGCACAGCTGCTTGTAAAGTTCTTTATTTGGAGAAGCCCAGACTGCATCAGCAATCGTGTTTTAAGCTTTCAAGCACATGACAGTTCACATAAAAAAAATTTAAAACAGAGGTCTTAGTCATTTTATGGAAAAGAGCAATTATCTTTCAAGTAGATTTAATCTTTGAATATTGCTGTAATGACTAAAATGACATAAGTTAACTTCAAAATAAGAATGCTCCTGCGGTACGCCTGCTCACTTTAAGAATATTTGATAACAGAGCGTTTTGTTGGCATGGCAGGGAGCCGGTCTCACCGTTCCCCTGCTCTCAGCAGGCTTGCTCTGTGCAGGGAAACCACAGGGCTCTGCCTGCAGCTGCAGAAAGGAAAAGATTTAGCACCTTACTAAGAGGTTTTTGTCAGGATGATTCTGCAAATGACTAATTTGTACCTTTTCTTTTATTGCTGGCATTTTCCCTTTACAAATAACTGTATCTGTATGAACACAAACTACTAATACTAATACATGTAGATGTAGTAGTCATATAATATAGAAATGAAGCCTAATACAAACATACATGTAATCAGTATTTTTGTATCATGCTGATTTCACATATTTGTATCTATCTATATATAGATAACCTGTGTATAAACTGAGAGAATAATTATACAGAAAACGTAGCATTTTAATATCAATAACAGTTTTAGTCCTTAGTGAAGTACACCTCCTGTTCAGCTAGCCCCAAGTGTTGCTCTCGCACCTCACCAGCAGCTTCGTTAGCCTGCTATTAACTTTCCATGCTATTTAACTTCAAGCAAGTCGTGCTTCAGCTGAGCACCAGCAGCTCTGAGCACTGAAGAACACAGACCCACTGCCTTGGCTTGTAAAAGAAACCTGGTGCTCCTGTCTCGGTCACGAGCAGGCATGCTGCTCTGCTGTCATCTCAGTCAAAAGAATCACGTGTGTTAGCCCCCAGATGGGGCAAAAACACAACAAAAAAAGGATAACTAAAGAATATTGCATTGTGGGTTTTTTTCAGCGTGGTTCTCTGCTGCTCTGACTGCTTCTTCCCCGGGTCCGGCCCTAGGCGGGTGCCTCGGCTGAGGCCAGGACGGGCAGTGCGCGGGGGCTGTGGGGGTGCCGCAGCGCATCGACTGCCACCCCCAGCGGGCGCTTCCCAGGAGGCCTGCGAGGCGCGGGGCTGCACCCGGTGCGCCACCCACGTGGCCAACGCTCCCTGGTGCTTCTTCCCCGAGGACAGTCCCTACGCCTACTCCCTGGGCGGGAACACCGAGAAGACAGCCAAGGGCCGGAGGTAAGCGCGCGTGGCTCCTCTGGTGCTGCAGTCCGGCACTGCACGGCCACCATCGCTGCCGCCCCAGGGGAGCTCGCTGGAGGCCTTGCCCAAGTTGCTACTGCGTGCTCAGCTTGCGATGAGGAGGATAACGGACATGTTTCACCGCGTGTAAGGGGTGCAGAGTTGGGGTCCTGTGCTCACACCACGCCACCCGTGAGGAAACCACGCTGGCACAGGGTGGTCGGTGGTCCCTCCCGCCCTGGGAGCTGTCCCCCAGTAGACCATGAGGTCTCCTTACTTCAGGAGCGCCTATTTTATCCGTTAACGGGAAGGAGAGGGACCGAGAGAGAGCCTAAGCTAACCTGAGAGATTATTTCTGTCAATAAGTCAGTAAGATTTATTTTTAAAGAGCTAAGGTAGAATATCTGAGATGTTCCACCCAACATGCCAGGGTGCTCACAGGCAGCGTGTGGTGGTGGTGGGCGGCAGTGCGTGTTTCTGCCGCAGGATAACGCTGAACAGGCGCCAGGCCTTTTCCCTCTTTGGAAATGACATTTCCCTGGTTGTCTGGGAAGTGGAGTTCCAGACAAGGGACAGACTCCGGTTCAGGGTGAGTATTTGAGGGGGGTGGGGGGCGGATCATTTAACCAAAGCAATGTGTGCTAAAGAACGAGCTAACCTGCCTCCCCCTTGCCTTGTTTTAGCTCTACAACCCCAACAGGCAGCGGTTTGAAGTCCCACTCAAGATCGACTCCCCAGGAGTTGCGGCCGATGAGGCCAGCTATGACGTGGAGTTCACGGATGACTCCTCGCACTTCAGGATCAAGAGGAAAAGCACCAGCACAGTGCTGTGAGTACCAGATGTCATTAACATCACTTTTCACAGAAATTAAGAGTGATGGGGCAAGCACTGTTTCCTCACACCCTATTGCTTGGGTCTGTGTGATACAGGCTTAAGGACAAACTGCATGTGACATAAATACAGATTTATGCCTCGTCCCTGGAAAACACTCATTATTGATAGAAGTGTGTGCCTGTATAATGGGAGAGTATCTACATGCATGCAGGAAAGATTATTCAGCAAGTCAAATAATTTTTGAGGCTACAGCGTCACAGCTTGGGATGCTGCTAGACTCAACCTGTGAAAGCACGAACTAAGTTTTCTGGTATTTGTTTAAATATGTCAGAAATTAAGCACCAAATCTCCTGACACTCTCCAAGATGTAGGCCTAGGAAACTAAAGCTCAAAGCCAAAAGGCCATAAGCCTCTAACTTCCGCTGATTTCAGTGAAGGGCATCGTGGGTTTAGTTTGACACTCTGCAAAAATACCAGCTGTATTCTCAATCTGGTACTGTTAAGTTTAATTTCAGCAAAAGCTTCCCTCACCAGCAAATGTCACCAGGTGTCATAATTTCCCATTTTCTTGGCTTCCACCAACACACCTCTAGTGTGTAATGCTACTTAGCAAGAGAGTTTTTTGGAAGGAGCAGCTCCCTGCATCCCAATCAAGGCACGCTCCTGCCAGTTGCATTTGGGGATGCTACAGCATGGTGTTAGCAGCAGTCTCTGGCTGTCTGCAGTGACAAATGACAGTGTTACAGACTGCTCTGGGTTATCGCCGCTTGACTCAGGTGGGCGAAGGAGATGCACAGAACATAGAAATATGGGTACTGTTTGCATCAGCCTGTGGTTGTATCTATATTAGCATTTTAGTTCAGATCAGCAGCAGCTTTTGATGTGAATCTCCTGATTATACACGTCTTGTGTGTTGGCTGACCTTGCAGTGGTCCTGAGGAGCATGGATTAGGTCCCTTCCATGTGACCTTACCGGGAGGTGTGCTCTGGGGGCTAACGGGCTGCTTCAGAGCAAGCCCCTGAGATGTGGCCACTGGGTCCTCAGCACCAGAGCTCTGCCTCTCTTGCACCCCACCACTAGTGCAAGCACATTCACAGAAGGTCATTGGGATCCAAGTGGTTCATTTCATGTATTAGAAAATCTAACCCCAAATCAAGAAATTAAAAAATCAGCTCAGATTTCCCCCCTCCCAAGAAACTCTGTTAAACAGACTCAAAATATAAGCATTATCTTTGTGAGCAATGTAAGGATGGCTTAACGCATGTGATGCAAGTAAGACAATACAGCCTCCAGAATTGTTTGAGTCTGCAGATGGAACCCCACCACACTGGGTTTTTAATTAGCTGCCCATCCTTTTAAATTACAGTCTTGTGGCATCTCTTTTCATACACGTCACAGCCAATTCTGTAAAGTTTTCTTTTTGCAGGCTATTGTAAATGAATGTATTATGCATTACTCCGATAACAAGAATAATTTAATTCCTTGTTAGACTTAACAGCTTTGTGAAAACAGTGGGCTTATGTTAAAGACCCAATTTTCTTCTCTTTGTAATAAGAGATTTTTGTAAAGGCTCATTAATTGGAATGGTGATATAAGAGATGAATGCATAATGAGACATGGTGAGCGGCTAGCTTATGGCCCATCCAGTCCTCCTTATCTTCACGCAAAACCTAAGGATTTAGGCTCGGTTAGTCAGGGCATGATCAAACTTGGGACGTCCCAGCTAAGGGAAGGGGCCCGCTGTGAAGCAGATGCAGGGTTTGATCCGCTGAGCTGCCAAAGGCGCAACTCCAGTGAGAGGCAGAGGAGCACAAGTCGGTCCCTGCTGAGCAGATTTCCAGGAGGGCATGTTCACTGGTCTGCCGTGAGCCTGGGAAAGCCTCCTTTGTGCCCCTGGCAGTGGGGCACCCCCGTGTCCCCCAGAACCTGCACTCTGCAGCGACGCAGGTGTGGGGTGCAGCAGCGATGTGCTGCAGAGCCTGGGGAGGTAGAGGGCAGTCTTGATTAGTAGCATCGGCGCACGCTCGGCAGCGATGATCTGCTATCGAGCATTGCTGCTGGAAAAGCATATGCTGCCTCCGAGTAGGTAAAGGAGTTCTCCTGAAACCCAGCCGACCCCAAAAAGAGGAAATTGCAGGTGAATGTAACATGCAGTTAATGGGTTTTTATCCTGCAAACAATGGCAGTGCTGCTACTAAAAGATTCTCATCAGCAGAGACAGGATTTTGCATAGAGAAAGGGAAATTATATGTTCCCGGGAATTTTTGTTTCATGTGAAATGGCACAGCCAGTGCTTATAGACTGAAGGATCACATCCCGGCAGGGAGCCTTCCTCTCACAGCTGAATCATATTCGGAGTTAAATTCTATGTGTGAGGAGCAAAAATGCTTCCCTTTCATTGCTTGCCAGTCCGTCCCGTCAGAGTGAGTGAATGCAGATGCTCAGGGATACCTCCACAGCCTGACTTACAGGGATTTGCAACCTCCTTAGCCACCAGAAAAGCTGTGCAGCTGGAAATCATTTTTTAAAACAGGAAAGCAGGTTATATATCCTGACCTAAAAGCCATGGGCTGCTGCATTTTCTCGACTGGGGAGGATGAACCCTCAGCAAGCAGCATTACAGGAGCATCCCCACCAGTGACTGCACCGGCTGGCTGGGTCTGGGGGAGCACCAGTGGCATCTGGCATGTTAAGTAGATTTTCATGTTAGTTCAACCTGCCCAAAGGCAGGTTTAGGTGCGTGGGAGGTGGGTCTGAGTGTGCTCCACAGAGGCAGCAAGGGCTCAGCGGGAACCGCTGCAGAGCGTCTTCATCATTGCCTTGTCCCCTTGTCCCTGTTCCAGGTGCAGTCTGCAAAGAAGGTGCTAAACCCAAATCTTTTTTCTTTGGGCTCCTTCCAGAGGTGGGAGCTGCTGCTCCAGGGCCCCCAGTGTGCCTGGGGCCAGGTGCCGAGCTGCGCAGCCGGCAGCCTCCACCACGGTTGTGCCAGGTTAGGGCAGGCTGCGTAGGTCAGCGTCCCTGAGAAACAGGCAAGCATGTGACACCTGGGGGGACTTCAGTCTCCTATTTTAAGATGCGAATGGCCATGGCCTTGCTGTCTCAATGAACAGCTGAATCAATCGTTAATCTTCATATGCACACAAATATTGCTCAGAACAGTTGATGTGGGCAAATAAAATCTCTTCAACAGGTGCTGCAGTTGCACTGCCCAGGTGTGAATGGATAATAACCCGTGTCTATGCCAAACCAGGTCTGGGCGCTCTGCTGGACATTTCTAACATCTCTGAGGAAGGCTTTCTCATTGTAAAGCAATCCCAAAACCTCAAAAATCTGTTTACATGATGCTCCTTATCCCTCATCAGCAGCTTCACACTGCTGGATGACCCACACCCCAAAAAAAGCCTAAAATCCCTCACAATCCCCAGGGTGCTCTGGCACAGCTGACAGTCCACATGGGGAGGGAGCAGAAACATGGTATGGGTTTGGGTTGTTCTTTGAAAGTCCACGTTTGTACTTCTCTCCCCTCCTTCCCATGGTGCAGTCTATCCCGCTATCGCTGTCTTTGCGCCGCAGACTTTGCAGTGATGGGGTAGCTGGCGGCAGGCTCTCCGTCTGTCTACTTGACATAAAACCCCATCCCAGCTCTGCCGTTTGTGCACACAAAGCCTCCTCCTCGTGAGGAATGATTTAATACCACATTGGAAACGTCGCAAGGGAGAGGCAGCGGAGACACTGAGATATTCCTGAATGTGCTTTACAGGCGTTTCTCCCGCTCGCTGTGCACAAGGAGCCTTTGCTGTAGCCGAGCTACCCAAGTGCTGGCTCAAGGAGGGTAGGACTAACTCAGGGCTCTGTGTAATCACAATAACGGGGGAGAGGAATGAATTATGTAAAGGGAGAGCCATTAACTGCTGATTGCAAACCTCATGTGGAGCCAGGAGCAAGAGTAAAAGGCCAAGTCCCGCTACATTTTCAGCTTACTCCAAGGTAATCAGGCAACAGCCACTGCTTCACCTGCATGGGGCAAAAATTAGATGGGGTCGTGCAGGGAAATGATCCAGGCGCTGCTGGGGGCTCCAGGACCAGAAGCTCTTGGACTGCCTCCCTTTCTCCTCCTGGTAATGCCTCTTGGCTTCCTCCCTCTTACTTCTCTCCTTCTCCTCCACTGCTGTCCTTCCTTCTGTTCCATCCAGTCCTGCCTGCTCCTGCCCCTCTTCACCCTCCCCCAAGCTCCTGCTTTTCATTGGTGGCCAGCGAATGTCCTTCCCCATGCCAGCAGCTCTCCAAAGCTATGGGGGTGAAGAGGTGTCACCTCCATGCGTTCACCAGTGAGGTGCTGAGGAGGTCAGATGAGACCAGGGGCAGGCAGAACCCCTGCTCCCATACAGGTGTCAGGTGTTTTCCATTTTGTCTGGGATGTAACCCCAACCTGCAGCTGATTTAAGGCTGCAACCTTAACATGTTCTTAGATGTGAACCACAAGGGACAGGGACTGGGGCCCGGGTCTCCAAGGCCTCCCAAACTACTGGCCTCGTGGAGCAGGGGAGGCTGTGGGGAACCTCTCCCCGCCCCCATGATGCTTGGAAAATACCTGTTTTGGCAAATCGGCGTGATCAGTGGCAAAATGTTTTGTCAAGAGATTTGTAATTGGCTTTAGTTTAATAAACCCTCGCTCACGCTATCCTAGCTGATCTTGCAGCTCTACTGGGAAACTGGCCCATCGTTAGCCAGGTCCCTACAGTAATAAAAAGGAGAGAAAATATTGGGTTGTAATAAGGCAGGTGAGGGAGCAAAATGGAGCCTCTGCGTTATTTAGTGGCACGTGCTCTCAGGTTGAGTACTCTTCTTCTTTCTGCTCCTGCCACTAACAGCAGCAACCACTGGAGGAGGTAGTATCAAGTGTGAGCACGAAGTCTTCAAGAAAGCATAGATTTCCTCAAGCACAGAGAGTAAAAGGCCGGGAACTGTTTTCTTTAAGGCAGCGATAAATAAC